AACATATCGCAATACTTCATTCGGCAAACACTGAAAAATGAACTCGGGATGAAGCCATTGAAATTCCAAAAAGTGCAAGAACTTACACCGCAACAGAAAGAAAATAGACAGCTGAAAACCCTGTATTTTAATAAAAAAAAACAGCAACAAAGTTAAACGCCATAATTTTTAATTTTTTTTTTAATTTTATTGAATGAAGGCAAAAAATATCGGAAATAACATCAAATTTTAGAATAAGTTTAGATTTGTTCGAATTGGTCACCTTTGGCACGAATTATGGCCTTCAAACGGCCAATGAAACCGTCACACGCTGTCCTAATGTTGCTCTGCGGTATTTTGGCCCATTCCCGGCGAAGCGCTTGCTTGAGGTGATCGACACTTTGGTATTTTTAGTGCCAACCTTGCTTTCCAAAATACTCCAGACACAATTGTTCAACGGATTGGTACCCGGAGATTTCGGTGGCCATTGTGCACATTTTGTACAAATGTCGGACGCATTTCCATAACTACATTTATATTTAAACTGCTGGAAACATCAGAGACCAAAATAACAAATGTCGGGATTCCAGCCTTATTCCTTTACCCAATATAAAATTTAGTGTCATTAGTAGTTTTTGAACAAATGAATGGCACGTGCTGAGTGCGATGGTGCTGAGTCTTGTTGGAATGTCCAAAGTCTGCGGCCAAAATGTTTGCGTGCCCTTTAGGCTTTAAAACACCCTCCAGAATATTTACGCTATAATATTCGGCATTTATTCTGATGCCACTGTCGATTAATACGAGCGACCATCGGCTGTTATGGCGGCTCACATTATCATTATTGCCGGAGCTTGAGTTCTGGTGACCAACAGAAGGTCCACATTTTCAGCTGACCTTTTTGGCAAGTAAACACGATCATTTTGTTACAAACTGCTGGACAACAAAATTTTTTTTTATCGGAGAAAACGAAATTCGGCAGATCACCACTTCCGACAAGCGAAACAACTCTTTTGAGTCTATTTTCTTTCCGTTGCGGTGCAAGTTCTTGCACTTTTTGGAATTATTATTTTTCATGGAATGGAATATTGCGATATGTTTAGCTCACGAGCCATTTTTCAGCCACAACGGCGCTGGTTTCGATCAAGTCGCTTCTCTACTTTTCGAACCCTTTCTGTTGATGTTGCTATTTTCTTCCGCCCACTTCCTTGACGTCGGGCTACGCTACCAGTATCACCGTAAAGATCGATGGTTCGAGACACAAAAGATTTATTCACATTTAAATGCTGGAGTGCTCTAACGATAGCCACTTGTGGTTTTCCAGCCAAATATAAAGAAATCACATTATCACGCTTGAATTCCATCACGAGCTGTCACTGAAAAAAATTTAACAGCTGTCGGACGATTGCTTTAGAAATTACAGCAGCCTGAAGTTAGTTGTAGTTTTTTCAGTGTTTTGACAGCAAAAGAAGAGAACAGCTGGCCTTACTAGGTCACCTTGTAAATACACCTTGGTACTGGCCATGGTAGAAGAATACAAGTAGTTGCTTCGACACAGCTGCTGGGACAATGAACTGTCAAACCGATTTTGGAATTGAAAATGTTGAATGCAAAATTATTAAAATTTGTAACAACCTCCGATTTGCTTCGTATAAGAAAATGTATAAATATCTACTTATTTTTGACAAAACAATTTGAAAATTTTGACTTATCAATGTTCGCAAACGTTGATGCATCTACCTATATTCTTCTACCATGATACTGGCATTTCATCCGATATTATCGATAGAGAAAAGTATTAATCAATATTAACTTTTAAAATAAATTATCTATATTGCTATCGATTATTTACCAGCTCCAGTTTTGTTTGTTGCAAAACTCGGGAATCGCCTGTCACAAGAATTTCAAATGAAAAGTTAATACCATAACATTTTAAATTGGCGCTCAATAATATCTCTCCCAATGATACAAAGCATTTATATATAATGAGTGAAAATTAATATTTTTATTAAAATGTATTGAGTATATAGGTACATATTAATTATATATGAGATGCATATTGTATTTATAAAATATATATGTGTTTTTTTATATTTAAACATAATTATTTTAAAATTAAAAATTTTCCCAGAAATTGTACGGGTCATTCAACCCTCTGATGATACATTGCAGCGTATGCAATTCTATTTGACAAGTATAGTCTCCAATCCTTTCAGCGTCGTTTCGTCTATGTCGTTTTCGTCCATACTCAATAATTGGTATCGTAATTTACGTAAACGAAATTTCGATTTATATCTGGTATAATAATATTGGACAAGCCACATCGATATTATAAAAATTATATTAATTATTAAAAGTAATTTGCCGTATTGGACGATAACATCTAAAAAATTTTTTGGTTGCAACAATCCCCAACAATAAATAATAATGCACTCAGATAACAGCAATGTTAAATAAAATATAATGCGAAAATTCATTTTTTTTTAAATCGTTTTGGTAAAAGATATTCCGGATTGTTGCAAATTCCGCTGATCGTCGAGCAACTTGAAAACCACACTAATATCATGATTTTCGAAGAATGAATGCATTCGTGTTCTTTCTATGGACCTATTTACACGTGTGGGAATCTGCCCTGCAACTTTTACACATTGAATAAAAAGTATAAATGATTTGTATGTCATCGATCATAACATGAGAAACTGGGTTCAAATATAATAAACATTAATCAAATAAACATTAAATATAGAATTAGAAATTGTCTTAATTTGTAAAAGAATTTAGGTTTAATTATTTGCGTTAATTTTATTCATTTTAAACATCAAAAATGAGGCATCAATTGTACAGTCGCTATTATTTACGAACTATGATTTAGCACGCTCCTATATGAAGAAGGTATATACTAATCTGGGTTTTTTGGAACCAACTCGATTGCCCTATCAATTCCACAAATCGCTAAGTACGTCAATTTATCAATAAGAAATTATCTTTCCATACAAAGGAGAAAAAATCAAAAATTGCCAGACCAGGTTTCCTTAGTGTAAACGCGGACAATGCCTACATATGTTTACTAAAAGGCGAACTCACCAATTACAATACATAATTCTCAATATCTCTCCCGAAACTGACTCTCCGATAACCGCATATTTGGTATACAGAAAAAGAACTGCGAACTTGAATGTTGCCAGTAGGAAGAAATGTTGTAACAAACTGGGGATATTTTTTGTGATAAGGGGAATTAATATTTATATGAATTAAACTCTTTGGAGTTATAACTTGTAAATTCCGTTTTAATACAGTCTGCTGTCATTATTAAGCCAACAGCTGTCAAAATTATTCCAGTGACAGCCTTTTATATTGTTTACAAATGTACAAAAGCATTTTTGTGAAAGTTTTCCGGAAAAAAGTTATTCGTGATAGAATTTAAGCGTGATAGTGTGATTTCTTTGTATTTGGCTGGAAAACCAAAAGTGGCTATCGTTAGAACCCTCAATCATTTAAATGTTAATAAATCTTTTGTGTCTCGTACCATCGCTCGTTACCGTGATACTGGTAGCTTAGCCCGACGTCAAGGAAGTGGACGGCAGACACCAGCAACATCAGCATAAATGGTTCGAAAAGTAAATAAGCGACATGATCGAAACCCGCGTCGCAGTGGCCAAAAAATGGTTCGTGAGCCGAACATATCGCAATATTCTATTCGGCAAATATTGAAAAATGAGCTACACCGCAACAGAAAGAAAATAGACTCAGACTCAGAGCTAAAGAGTTGCTCCGCTTGGCCGAAAGTGGTGAACTGCCGGATTTTGTTTTCTCCTATGAGAAAACACTCGTTGTCCAGCAGTTGGTAAACAAACAAAATAATCGTGTTTACTTGCCAAAGAGGTCAGCTGAAAATGTGCACCTTCGGTTGGCCACCAGAATTCAAGCGCCGGCCATGGTGATGATGTGGGCTGCCACAACAGCCGATGGTCGCTCTCAGCTCGTATTCATCGAACGTGGCATCAGAATAAATACCGAATATTATCGCGAAAATATTCTGGAGGGCGTATTAAAGCCTTGGGTACGCAAACATTTTGGTCGCAGACCTTGGACATTCCAACAGGACTCAGCACGCGCCACCCAAGAATGGTTACAAAATGATGTTCCTCGTTTCATTTCCAGCGCACAATAGCCACCAAAATCTCCGGATACCAATCCGTTGGACTATTGTGTCTGGAGTATTTTGAAAAGCAAGGTTGGCACTAAAAAATACCAAAATGTCGATCAAGCAAGTGCTTTTCCGGGAATGAGCCAAAATACCGCAGAGCAACATTCGGTCAGCTTGAGACGGTTGCATTGGCCGTTTTAAGGCCATAATTCGTGCCAAAGGTGACCAATTAGAACAAATCTAAAATTATTCTAAAATTTGATGCTATTTCCGACATATTTTGCTTTCATTCAATAAAATTTAAAAAGAAATGTAAAAATTATGGCTTTTGACTTTGTTACAGCAATGTAATTTGGTTCATAGTTGGTATGATCTACTTCACATAAATTCCCAATATAAACTTTTTTGCTACTGGAGCTCTATTAAATACGCATAGCGGTGTAGGGTATCATAAAGTCGGCCACGCCCGACATTTGACATTTCCTTATTGGTTTTTAATATTCCAACGAAATGACGACCAATGTCTATTCCTCATTGAACATAAGTACAAACAAACGAGAAAGGATGGAGAACGATTGATGGCACCAAAATCGAAACTATGAAGGGAGGACTGACACATAAAGGAGTCTATATTGCTTTTGTAAAATGATACAAAATAGTAACTGCTCCAGAGATTTAAGCTCAAAATTTCCAAAAATGCCCACAAAAACTTCTGGCAACACTGTAGATATAATCGTAAACACAGCGATCTCGTATGGGTGCCGACAGCACAGTCTAGCAATGTGGTTGAAGATCGGAGAGTTGGCGTCGATGACGATGACAACGACGACGCTGGTGAGACGACTGTGTGAGAATGTCGAACTAAAACTCGCTGTTATAAACGCAAACCAGTTAGTCGCACGGCCACAAGCAAAAGCTTAACACACAGCATATCTGCACGCTACAAAGCAAAACAGTATAATTAATATTATCGTTGAATGTATCAATTATTGTAAAACAATCATAAAAGATAAACAAAACACATAATATACACATACAACAAAATATAAATATATTGCATAAAAAACCAGTTTTAAGTGAAGACCTATTAAAACAAATGGGAAAGAGCTAAAAATAAATAAAATCTTTTGGTTAAATATTCAACAAAAAAAAATAAAAACAAGAAAGAAAACTCCCAAGAATATTGAGTGAAAAAATAACGATCAACCGGTTCTAACCAACAAAAATACATACTAAAAAAATTATTAAAAATCAGAAAATGCTAACACTGTAAAAAATTGAAAAAGCAACAAGAAAAATAGTACAAAGTACTTAAAAAAGATTACTTAAACTAAAAAAAAGAAAAGAAAACGACATAAAACGTTGTCACCCCCCAAAGTATGACTTCAACTGTATTACAGCCAACGACGGCCACAGCAACAGGCGCCGCTACTTCAACAGCAGAATCCTCAGCCATGGGTTGGTCTCATGACAAGTTACGCTTCTCCTGTGTGGATAATATCGGTCTAAAACAATTGTGGAAATTAATTGCCCTGGATACAAATGGCAATGCCACCACAAAGGCGTCATCATCGCCATCTTCAGCGAATGTCATTAAAACGACTTCAGATGAGAAATTAAAAAACGCCAACAACAACAATAATAATAATAATAACAATAATAATGAGGTAAGTACTCAAGGAAGACATTAATTGAATCGAACACGTCAAACTACTTAGCTTTATGTGTGAGAAGAGTACCTACATGGGTATCTAAATTGAAATCTGTTCAACAATAGAATATTTTTTTGATTTAACATTTAAAACACGTAATCTTCGATTTGGTTTCGAGATTGACAGATAGGTGATATCTACTTTGCGTGTTAGAAGCGAACACCAGCTTTTTTTGATTGTTATTTCCTGAGAGAGATTTTTTTGAGGATAGATTGATTTTTTTTATTTGCAGGAAAACCAGAGTGAGATAAAAAAAAACTGCAACAAAGTCAAACGTCATAATCTTAACATTTTTTTAAATTTTATTAATGAAAGCAAAAAATGTCGGAAATAGCATCAAATTTTAGAATCAGTTTAGATTTGCTCGAATTAGTTACCTTTGCCACGAATTATGGCCTTCAAACGGCCAATGAAACCATCACACTCTGCCCCGTCAGTTTTTTCATCTCACCTCGCGTTCTCATCACTCTCAACGCGTTCTAAAATAGTCTTTTGAAAGAGAAAAAATATTGTCAAATTTTTGTTAAAAATAGTCTTCTTGGCTGACCAATTTCTGCATCTAATTCGCAAATTTTCATTTTTTAAAATTACCATCGGATAGACGTTTTACTATCGTTAAGTTCAAAATATTCGTTGTGTTGTGGCACAAAACCTTTCCCTTAAATTAATTTTGCTGCCTTCGGTTTTGGTAGTATTTTTACCATTTCTGTGGAAAAGAAAGTGTTGCGATTTAATGTTTACGGGTCATTTTCATTGCAAATGCCACTAACATTGGCAAATACATAAAAAAGAAACGACATCATTAACCAATCATCCAACGTATATCATGGGTTTTATTTTCAAGTTCCAAAGTAAACCGACACAACCTCTTTCTGGTGTGTTTGCTGTGACGTCAATTGATCGTGAGTGAGTCTATAAATGAATGAATATATTGTATTGCTAGTGATATTTATCATAGTCGTGCTACTAATTTATGGATACAACTTTGTACGCAGCTTTTGACTTTTGTCAGGTTTGCTAATGGCGAACTTTTGCAATTTCCTAAAACAGTGTTGGTAACACCGATGTTATGTTTGTTTTTTGCTCTTTTTCTATTAATACCTTTTTCCCACAAATTTCAAATACGGTTTTTTTGCTTACCCCATGGTATGCAGCGGATATCCGTGTTTGTTTTTGTACCAATTTGAGCAACAAACAAAAAAAAAAGACAAGAAAGAAAGTTAAGCTTGCCAACCAACAACAACCACAGTCATATTTATTGCAATTAACGGTTTACATAATTTATGGAACAAACATATTTTTTCGAAAACTGGACAATGGCGAACTTAGATGATAAAGTATGTTGGCAGACGTCATGAATCAAAAGCGTGACGCAAGTCACGTTTGTGTTGTTAATAAAACCAGTTTGTCATCTCATCGCTTATAATGAACTGTTTCACGACTTTTTATTCAATACAAATGTATTGAAATCTGCCATAAAGTTTTATAATCAATTTATATATTAAGCATAACGCCCTAGTTTTTTTTTTTTTTTTTTTTTGAGAAATATATGCTGTATGTGTATCTCTGGGGAAGATATTGTCACATTATATCCTATTTTCTGGAAGAAAAAGCAAGGTTTAAAAAATGAATGCTTGATACACTGTCTCATGGTAGAAGAATATAGGTAGACACATCGACAAAGCTGCTGGGACAATGAATTCCAATTTTGGAATTTCAAATGTGAAATGAAAAATTATTTTAATTTGTAAAAATTGTCGAAAAACGCGTAATAACCTCCGAATGACGTCGCATAAGAAAACATATAAAAATCTTCTTATATGAAAGAACATTTAAAATTTTTTGACATATCAATGTTCCCAAGCGTTGATGCATCTACCTGTATTCTTCTACCATGTCACACTGTCACCTAAACTACACATCGTTTACACAATGGAAACAAAACCTTAAACATTTAAGTAGGTTATGTAGAACATCGTTTATATTAAAATTATGATAATTTTGGCAGTTAAAGTCATCTTTGCTTAAATCTATTCCCGTTTTATATGTCACGGATATTAGAATTGAGTTCCAGCTCCAATTTTTTTTACATTTCATTGTGAATACATTGAGTGATATTTCTATTTCATATATTTCCAAATAGATTTTTAACATGGTGTTCATATGTTAAACTTATTATGGACCTGTTTTACTGGATATATGTATATTCAAAAACACATATATATACGACCAATTTGAATACCATATTTTTACCTTAAATGCAAATGATTGACGTCAAACGAAAAAAAGAAGGTATAGAATTAATTAAAAATTTGAATAATATTCAAGCATTATTTTAGAATTTCTGCGATATAAAAAATCTATTTTTAATAGGGAGAGAGAGAGGCCAATGATATTGCATTTCATTTGTGGAATTGTCATCTCATTGAGGAATCTAGTTAAAACTGGTATTTTCATATTAAACTACAATGACTATATATTTTTATTACAAATTAAAATTTCATTTATGTAATTAGTACTGTTAAACCGTCCTGAAAGAAAGACTTATATGACGTAAATTTCAAGAAAAAATTAATTAAGAGAATGCCTTTTTGGGAATTTGCGTCAATCGGACTTTCAAAAAATTTGAAATTTTTAAGACACTTCAGGTGTAGAGCACTGTATTTTATTAAACGTCAGAAATAGCTGTGTATTAAGTTGGAAATCAAGGCCGAATGAAAAATACACTCTAAATTACGTCCTACACACATAATAAATTCAGTGGATTCCAACGTCAAATGATATCCATGATATCATGCAGTTGACGGTTAAAATTCACTCGATGTAATAAGTCTAAACGCACTATAAACCTTAAACTAAGATGTTGGCAACGCAGAATGGCATATTAACGTCAAATTATAAAGCAAAATCAAGATGCCATACTGCGTTTACACCCTCCATTCTTAAAATAAAACATTTGTTCTCCTCCGATCTCTGTGCATTCACACTAGCACAGATGTAAAAAAATGTAATCATTTCTGTACTTTTGACACTTCAATTGCAATTTGAAAAAATGCACAGTTCAATTACCTAGACAGGTGTCAAATGTGAACAACGACAATAAATTATAAACAAATTAAACATCAATAAAAACCCAACAAAACTGTTGATTTCAAATAAAAAGTTATTAATTACCCCTCATAATTTCCGGCATCTAATAACAGGTGATTACATCAGTTTCTAAAACATAACATTCCCACGCCAATTATCACAACTTCAACAAGTTCAAGGAGAGTACATTCACCACCAGCGTTAGAAAACGTTGCAGTAATGCAATGTTTTTGGAAATGTAGAGGAGACAAAATGTCAACATTGCCAAATTTATCACACTTTCATTTCGATCTCAAAATTCATGTGAATTTCCACAAAATAAGCGACATGTATTTCTTTGTAATTCAACCAGCAAAAAAAGTGTAAAAACACAAAAAAAAACTTTTAGTAGCTCAACCAGATTTTTATTGTCGAAGCACATGTGCGTTGAGGTTTTTTTTCTTAACTCACAACATGTGCCGTTTATTTTAACTTTTTTTTAAGTCAGGGTTAAACAATATGTATGCTACAGACCAAAAACCATGCAATACTGTACTCAATACCCGTGCAATTTTCAAGGTTCATTACATTATTGGCGTGAGATGAAAAAGTACACATGCCAGACGCATGCATGCATTGTTGGTAAGTACGGGATTCTAGGCCTTTTTTGTAAAACACAATCTCTAGAATCTTTATACGTTTTTTATGGTTCATTGAATTCAAGGTAAACCAACTGGTTATTCTTAAGAATTGAGGCATTCTCGTACACGAGAAGTGCATCAATCAGAAATATTACAAAAACAAAAATATATGAAAGATTCAAAACACTCGTATTATGAGGTCATTGTTCAAAATCTACCGCGAAAGTTCAATGGGTGCTATCAAAATATTAAATCTCATTAATTTAGAATTTAAAAATATTTTTTGGGCCGATCACAAATTTTAATTAAATTTTTCAACCTGTGTTTCTATTTTTGTTGTTCGAAATTCCAATTCCAATTAATTAATTTATGAAAGTGAAAGTAAAATTTCATCATATTTGTTATTGTTAATATTATATTTCATGGGTCAAAATAGCTGATTGTACAGCTCTTCCTCTCGTTCCGATGGAAATTATTATCTTGAAATACAAAGTATTTCGGCTTTTTTTTGACAATCTGCAGTTGGCAACCAATCTCAACGAATTCACATTCAATCTTATCAAAATATTTCCTAATTTATAGTTTTTGTTTGCAAATTTTAATTTCTAGAAATGATTATCGCAAAATATTTTATTTTTAAACCAAAAAAAAAAAAATTTAAAAAAAAAAAGAAAACTGCATTTGAACTGGTGTTTAATTTTGGATGCAGATAAATTTGCTATATAATCTTAATGATGCCGAAATATACATTTAAAATTCATCTTGTGTAGATTTGTAAGGCAACGAAAGAATAACCCAAAATATTAGCTGAGGCAATTTTTGCATGACCAAATTTAGGCATTTTTTGTAGTGCATTCAGTACGAAATATCATCAAACACTTCCGACTTAGTACAAAAAACTATGAAATTTATTCTGTTTTTTTAAAATATCTCTCTCGATTTTAATTAGCCATTGATTTGACAGGACGAGATATTCTCTTTCCACTACTAATGCATATATTTTGAGCAAGGCTGACTTAGGATAATATGACTTAATCAAACTTAGCATTAAGTGGAAAAGAGAGAGAGAGAGAAAGAAATAGAGATACCTGAAGTGCACATGTCTATGAATCTTATGGAGAGGTCATAGACAAACACAGTTATCTTATATGTGGCAAGCAAACATGCTACAAATGCAAATATACCAAATTTAGGAAAGCCAAATTCTATCTAATGACTCGAAGGTCTTCACACCACATTTTCTTA